GTAATGACCTGCCAAACATGGACTGAGACACACAGGTGATTTCTGAGTTTTGCTCATTAAACAATTTAATATAAGACTATTATAAGTATATAGTGTAATGACCTGCCAAACACGGACTGAGACACACAGGTGATTTCTGAGTTTTGCTCATGGAATGTATGCCTTACTGAGTTTCCCGCTTGTTGCTGATTGCTGAGTTTTCTAAGTCTGTGTGGGTGCATGCTTGCTGGTCTGCATGCCTGTCTGAGTGCTTGTTTGCTTGAGTGTGTGTGTGACCCGCAAGGGCCCTTGGTTGTTCGGAAAGGCCCGAAGGGCCAGTACGTACCTGTGGCCGTGACATATGAGGGTTGCAGCGGGGAAACACTCAAGTGGGGGGGAAAGAGGCCCGCAACACTTAGAACAGCAGAAAACACCCAAGTAGCAGGTAGGCCGGTACCACACCAAGTAGAGGTAGACGTGCCGGGTACTGAGGCTGAGCAGAAGAAGACAAAAGTTGGCATTTTTTAGAGGCCTAGTAGTTGTAGGCTAGGTCTAGGCGGGTACCAGTCAACCAGTCTGAGTCTAGGGCCTGTACGGGCAATATAAGAGTCTGCAATGATGTTTCCCTCGGAAAGGGAGGAGGTACCGGTTACTTGGGAGGCCGCGCGGCCTAGGAAGTCACTCGCCAAGACGCAAACAGGCCACTATATCTCCAGGAGCAAGGTGCTAATCCTCATTGTCGGCGTGCAAGTTTGGTGACACACTGGTTGGAGCACTGGTTGGAGCAGCGCTGCTGGGGAAGGAGCAAGGACAGGAGGAGAAAGAAGACCAGGACTAGGAAGAGGTGCGCCAGAGGTACTTACCTGGCTATGGTGGTTGTCATCTTCATCACCTTAGTGGGCGCTGCAGCAAGAAGGCTCCAGTGGGGGTAGAGCTACACCAAGAAGCTTCGAGGCAGAGGCAGGCAGGCAGAGAGAGAGAGAGAGAGAGAGAGAGAGAGAGAGAGAGAGAGAGAGAGAGAGAGAGAGAGAGAGAGAGAGAGAGAGAGTTACCTGCTTACTATTGTCGGCGGGCATTGCCGCAAAGCTTGAGAAACCTGTGCATATCATTTCAAGTTGTAATAAGTTTCAATTGTACTCATATCATGTGAATCTCGCTGGCTTGGTGTGGATGTTGAACGATGCATGCATAAAGTTTGAAGCAGTAAAGGTGAGGCAGCAGGGTCTTCTTCAGTAAAGGCACAGGGTCTTCTTCAGTAAAGGCACAGGGTCTTCTTTCAGTAAAGGCACAACCTTTTCAGTGGTACTGTTGTCTTCAGCGAAAATTGAGCAGGCGTGTGCACATAAAGATGGAGATGCACACAAGTGCAGAAGAAAGGTGCACGCAGGGAACAGACACACAATGAAGAAGAAAGGCACACATATGGAAGAAGCACACGTGCTAGGAAGAGAGTGCGCAGTGAGGAAGAAGGTGCGCAGTGAGGAAAAAGGTGCACAGGGAGAAACAAGGCGCGAAGTGGAGGACAAAGGCACGCTGTGGGTACGGAAGAAGGTGCCGTGCACTAGGGGAAAGAGCAATGACCGCAGCTCCCTTTTTTTTTTTTTTTTTTTTTTTTTTTTTTTTTTTTTTTTTCACGAATAATGATTTTTTGCAGTTCGTCAGAACCATCTGGTTCAGGCTCCTACCATTCTGGGGAGCGACAGTCCAGTTCCTATTCCCCCGGCAAGTCAATATGTAATACATTTGGATACTCACACACGCTCCTCCCCATTATGGCTGAGAGGCCCGAGCGGGCGGCATTGATTGCTTCCCTGTGGAAGGATATACCCCCCCTCACCCCTGCATAAGTTAGCCTGCTTTTACTAATTGGTCTTTACTATTCTGGTTGGCCTCAGTCCTGCTCCTCTCAGCTATACTGCTGTCGGTTCGGCGTGCTGTGCTGGAGAAAAAGGTTGGAGGGGGCGAGAAAGCACCACGTACCTGCAGTGTGGAGTGAGCTTGATCAGGCGACTTACAGGTGTCAGCAACTGCGGAGAAGTCTTTGGCAAGCTGGAAGCGAAGACCGGACTGCCCTAAGCCTTGTATGAACGCATGCATAAACTTGATTCCCTGGCTGACAGGCTTTTCCTGGATGGAGCTGCAATTGTCGTCATTTTTGTCATTTCAAGTAGGTCATAGGTCGATAGGAGGTACGAGTAGACAGGTAAGTCAGCCTGCTAATGACAATAACATGAAAAGTAGCTACACAGGCATGAGCGGTGAGGACTGGTTAAACAACTTTCTCTAGCGCACGCACGGATGGGTGCTGACCGGGGTCCAAGTGAACCACGTGTGCACGAGTGTGTTGAGGGTTAGCCTGCCGACAGCACGGGCATGAGCGTGAAAAGTAGCTGCACGGGCATGAGCGGTTGGTTCTTGTTAAACAACCTGATAACCCAAGGACTGGTACTGACCATCGTGCAAGCAAACCACCTGCGCAGGAGTGTTGACCAATCTTAAGTGTTGAGAGTCGCCCTGCAGATGGCAATACAATGTTAAGTAGCTTGACGGGCATGAGCGGTGGGCGGTCGTTAAAAAGCAACATACCTAAGCCCAAAGACTTGTACTGACTAATGTGCAAGGGAACCATGTGCGCACGAGCATTGACCAGTCAAGGAGAAGTGGAGATACTGTCTGGCCTCGCCGTCTTGTTTGCAGCAGTAATTTTTTTTTGCAGATCTCTGGGTTGTGAAACGGTTTTCACCTTTGCAG